GCCTCTAATATGTATGTATGAATATTTTCTCAAATTTTCAATGTCACAAAAATTTCTGAAAAATAAGATCACTGACATTAGCTCAGTTTTGTCAGTGACCGATTTCTCCAGCGCTTTAAGTAAAAATCATAAAACTAAACAATCAGATGTTTAGACAAATACTCAGGCAAACATGTTAAGCACTAATGTAAATATGGAGCAATAAAATTAAGGATTACATCTGTTGAAAACTGTTACACTTCCAGAAAATATATATACTGAGTATATTACACAAGCACCCACAGATGAAGGCTAAAAGGATAAGGAAGAGAGAAACAAGAAGACTCTACAAAACAGTGACTTTCTTTTTTATTAATTTTATCTTATTTTTTATAAAGGTAAAACAGAATAAAGCAGATCAGAAGAAAAAAATTTAAGTGACACAGATTTCAAAATAAGACAACAGGAAATCTACAGTGGCTACCATAAAGTCTCTTGTTTTCTTCTAAATAGTTGTCTATATCTTCACACACAAGGAATTCATACAAAACAAAATAGTATAAAACTGATCAGAATAGTGTAATGAAGGCATAACAGGACTTCAAAACCAGACAATATGAAAATTAAAAATGGCTGCCATAAAATCGCTTGTTCTCTTCAAAATAGCTGTCTGTACCTTCATGTGTGTTGAAATTAAACAATACAAAACAGACTAAAACCAGTCTGAACAAAAAAAAAAGTATTATTGGATTTCACAGCACGATGATGTGAAATCAGCAGGGGATACCATAATGTGTGTTGTTTCTTCAAAATAGCTGATCATTTCATCACACGTAATATAATTGATTCTCATAAACTGTTTAGAAGTTCTAGGCATGTATAAGTCTCTACATGTATACCTATACTTTCTGTATTAGAGCGAAAAACAAAACAAAACATTACTGGAAAAATAAAAAACAAAAAAGACAAATAACAATAGCAAAGAGCCCAAAACAATAATGATACAAGCCTTCAAAACACGGTGATAGGAACAGAACTAAGGTTAATATTTTGCATAGTGACTTTCAAGAGTTCCTCAGGTCACCTGATACACATATGCAATATTGTTCCAGTTCTATGAATAGTAACTGTGTTCTACAAACTTATAGAATTTGTAGCACAATCATCTTAGCTCTCCTGTGTGTTTATACAAATTTAGATATTTTCCCTTTCTTTTTCTTTTTCCTGCTTTGCCCTGAGATATTATTTTTTCCTCTTTGAGAATGTTGTTTCTCTTTCACTGTATTTAGTGAGGATTTTGTATCGTATGTACTCTTACCATTTCTTATACTAGAGAGACAATATGGTATTTACCCATGTGAGTTTGATTTATTTCACTTATGAGTATGCTCTCAAGTTGTATCCACTTATTTATAAATATCTCAGTGTGATCATTCTTTATACCTGAGTAGTACTCCATTGTATAAGATTACCCCATCTTTTTTATCCATTCCTCAGTAATGGGCATTTAGGTTGTTTCCAAGGTCTGGTTATTACAAATTGTGCTGCTATAAACATGGGTGTTCATATATCACTGTGATATGATGTTTCCAATTCTTCTGGGAATATGCCCAGAAGTGGAATAGCTGGGTCAAATGGGACTTTCAATCCCAACTTTTTGAGAAATCTCCAGATTAAACTCTGCGGTGGTTGTACCAATCTGCACTCCAACCAACAGGTCACAAGAGTTCCTTTTTCCCCACAACCTCTCCAGCATGTGTTGTTGGCAGTTTCCTTTATCCTGGCCATTCTTTCTGGAGTGAGATGGAATCTCAGTGTGGTTTTAATTTGCATTTCTCTAATGACAAATGATGCTGAATATTTTTTCATGTATTTATTTGCCATTTGCATTTCTTTATTTGAGAACTGTGTATTCATCTCAGATGCATAATTTTGGATTGGGTCTTTGAATTTTGTGGGTCTGATTTTTTTTTTAATTCTTTGTATGTTCTAGACAGAAGTTCTTTGAAGGACAGTTGATTAATATTTTTTCAAAATTCATGGGTGTCCTTTTTACTCTGTTGTAAACTTCTTTGACATGCAAAAAATTTTTTAATTAGATATGATCTCAGTTATTGATTCTGGGAAATATTTCCCAGGCAGTTTGATTTTTGTTCATGAATTCTTTACCTACCCTTATGTCTTCAAGATTTCTACCTACTTTGTCTTCCAACAGGTTTAGTGTTTCTGTTTTAATATTTAGATCTTTGAAAGCTGTGGTATTTTTATACAATGGAGTACTACTCAGCTATAAAGAATGATCACATTGATATATTTATCAATAAATGGACACAACTTGAAACCAGTATGTATCATAAGTGAAATAAATCAAACTCACAGGTATGAATACTGTATAGTCTCCCTAGTATAAGAAATGGTAAGAGTACATAAGAGTTTATGGTAATCATGATTCCCCATTACATTGCTCTGAAGCCTTATAATGTCTGCATTCATTAGTTGTAATGGTTTTATCCTAGTTTGTTTGATTTTATTATCTGTGATAGTATAAACAGCTATTTTAAAGAAAACAAGACATTAGAATAGCCAATGCTGATTTGGTATCATCTTACTCTGAAATCCTACTATGTTTTTGTTTTTTCTGTTTCCTTTGGTTCTATCCTGTTATATCTTATTGGATATTATTATGTGTGATAGTATAAACAAATATTCTATGGAAAATGAGATAACATAGTAACCATTGTTCATTCTCTGCTATTTGGTTCTGAAAACCCTGTAAATGCTTTCATTCTCTTGAATGGTTTTATATTGTTTTGTTATGTTTGCTACTATCATATATGAAGCTATAATCAACTATTTCAAAGAAAGAGACTTTATGTTAATTAATGTTAATTAATTAATGTTAATTAACTTTATGTTAATTTACTGTTAATTATGGGTTGTCTTGTGGTAAAATCCTGTGTTACTTGCATTGTTCTCTCGGGATCTGCTTTGTTTTGTCCTCTTTTGTCTTAATCTCTTTAAAATAAAAAATAAAAAAAATATATTTAGATCTTTGATCCATTTTGATTTTTATTTTAGCACATGGTGATAAGTATGGGCCTAGTTTTAGTTTTCAGCATACAGAGAGCCAGTTTTTTCAGCACCATTTATAAAGAGACTATCTTTCTTTCAGTGAACATGTTGGCCCCTTTGTCAAAGATAAGATGGCTGAGTGTGTTCGTAGTTGTAGCTGTATCTTCTAATCTTTTCCATGAATCTTCAGGTCTGTTTTTATTCCAGTGCCTTGCGATTTCATTACAGTATCTGTGTAGTTTAACTTCAAGTCACGAATTGTGATGCCTCCTCCCTCGCCTTTGTTGTTCAGAACTGCCTTTGCTATTCTAGGTCTTTTCTGATTCCAGATGAATTTTAGGAGTGATTTCTCTAGGTCTGTAAGTTATACTAGTTGTATTTTGATAGGAATTGCATTAAATCTGTATAACTATTTTGGGAGAATGGACATTTTCACAATGTTTGTTATTCCTATCCATGAACAGGGAATGTCTTTCCATTTTCTGAGATCCTCTTCAATTTCTTCTTTCAGGGTATTATGATTTTCCTGAATAGATCTTTTATTTCTTTGTTAGATTAATTCCTAAGCATTTCATTTTTTTGGATGCCATTATGAAGGGTGTGGCTGTTCTTATTTCTCAGTGATTGTTGTTTGTGTATAGGAATGCTATAAATTTTGAGTGTTGACTTTCTATCCAGCTTCATTACTGAATTTATTTATTATACCTAGAAATCTTTCAATGGAGTTTTGGGGGTCTTCTATGTAGAGTATCATGTCATCTGCAAATAATGATAATTTAACTACTTCCTTTCCTATCCTCACTCCTGTTATTTCTCTCTTCTCTAATAGCTCTGGCTAGTATTCCCATCACTATGTTGAACAGGAGTGGTGAAAATGGACATCCTTGTCTTGCTCCTTATTTTAGAGTAAAGGTTTTCAGTTTGGGGCCATTTAATATGATGCTGGCTATTGCTTTGTCAAAGATGGCTTTTCTCATATTGAGGTAAAGACCATTTATTCCGGTTTTCTGAAATGTTCTTACCATTAAGGTTCTTACCATCAGTGTTCAACCTTATCAAAAGCTTTTTCTGCATCTATCGAAATGATCATGTAATTCTTATTTTTGGCTCTATTGATAGATTGGATTACATTTATTGATTTGCCTATGATGAACCATCTCTACATTCCTGGGGTGAATCCCACTTGATCATGCTGTGTAATCTTCTTGGTGATTTGGTGCATTCTGTTTGCCAATATGTTATTGAGAATTTTCGCATCTATGTTATTAGGGAGATTGTTCTGTAGTTCTCTTTTTTGTTGCATTCTTCTGGTTTTGGTATTAGAATAATACTTGCTTCCAGAAATGAGTTAGGGAGAATTGCTTCCCTTTCGATTTCACTGAAGGCTTTGAGGAGTGTTGGCATTAAGTCTTCTTTGAATTTCTTGTGAAATTCTGCAGTGAATCCATCTGAACCTAGGCTTTTCTTTGTTGGTAAGGTTTTAGTTACATGTTCAGTTTCATTAATCGAAGTTGGTTATTCAGAAGTTTTACATCTTCTTGATCCAGCTTTGGTAATTCATGTTTCTAGGGATGTGTTCATTTCTTCTGTGTTATTAAGCCTATGAGAGTAGAGGGTTTTGAAACAGGTATTGATGATTTTTTGTATTTCCACAGGGTCTGTAATGATTTCACCCTTTTCATTCCTTATTGCATGAATTTGAGTTTTTTCTTTCCTTTTTTAAATAAGGTTGGCTAGGGGCTTATCAACTTTATTTATTCTTTCAAACAATAACTCTTTGATTTATTGATTCTTTGGATTGTTTTCTTAGTCTCTATTGATTTCTGCTCTGGCCTTTATAATTTCCTCCCTTCTTTTTGGCTTTGGGGTAGGCTTGTTCTTCTTTTTCTAGATATTTGAGGTATAACATCAGATTGTTTATTTGTGTTTATTCTGTTTTCCTGATATAGGAATTCAGCGGCATAAATTTTCCTCTGAGGACTGCTTTCATTGCATCCCATGGATTCTGGTAAGTTTTATTAGTATTTTCATTTGCTTGTAGGTATTTTTTAATTTTCCCTGTGACCTAATCATTGTTCAAGAGTGTATTATTCAATTTCCAGTGTTTCTGGGGTTTTTGCAGTTTCTTTTATCATTAATTTCTAGTTTCATGTTGCTGTGATCTGATAGCATGCATGGGATAATTTCAGTTCTTTTGCATTTATTTAAATATGTTCTGTGGGCTAGTATATGGTCTATTTTAGAGAATGTCCCATGTACTGCTGAGAAGAATGTATATTCTGATGTTGTTGGATGGGATACTCTGTATATGTCGATCATCTCCTTTTGTTCATAAGTGTGATTCAGTTCTGTTATTTCTGTGCTGATTTTCCACCTAGTTGATCTGTCTCTTTGTGTCAATGGGAAGTTAAGGTATCCCATTATAATTGTGTTATTGCTCATTTGAATTTTTATTTCCATTAATGTTTGTTTGTATAGCTGGGTGCTCCCAAATTTGGTGCATACATATTTAAGATTGTTATCTCTTCCATCTCTTCCTCTTCAAATCTAATTATTATTTGTTGTTACTTTTTTTTTTTTTTTAGTGCTGGAAATTGAACTCAGGACCTTGTGATTGCCACGTAAGCACTGTGCTGCTGAGCTGTATCACCAGCCCTAAAATCTGATTGTTTAATCATTAAGATTCTATGTACAATCAGTCTTTCGAAGCACTTTAAACACTTGGTTTTCACAAGAGGAAATTAACATTTTTAAGGAAAATATTTCACAGAGTCCAGTAAAGCATTTGGTTATGCTTTATCCTCAAGGAACGGAAAACTTTATTTATTTAAAGTCACTGTTACATTTCATATGGCTTAAAGTAAAAAAAAATATGAATACATGTCTATGTGTTTGTTTATGTATACAGTAATTAAGAACAAGTAACTAACCACCTGGGTATTCATATACTTAAATTTTTAATTTACTAATTTTTATTAGGAATATATTTCCAATATAATTTAATAAATTTATGATGAATATCAATTTATCAAACCATAAGTGAAAAAATAAGACTGACTTATAAATAGGCTAAAGATTTAAAATACTAAAAGATAGACCCTACTAACTGCAGAGGAAACTTTGATTCTCCAGAAATAAAAATAATATAGTTGATTATAAATAATTCTTTGAATATATCAAATATCCATTTAAAAATAATAAAATCAGTGTTTAGTATTCATTTTATTTATAAAGTTTTAAATTCAATTCAATAAACAGTTTTTAAGTCAATAAAATGATCAATGAAACTCTAATAATTTTACTAGAATTCTTTCAGAAAAAATTGCAGAACTTGGAAGGCAATAAGGGAAAAATTAAGATAGCCATAACGGTAAACATTTTGTATAAAATGGAAAAAGAAATCATGGTAACTAAGGTAAAATCAGAGTCAAGTCAGAATGTTTATTGTTTTTTATTATAAGGGAAAAAGAATATTGTGCAAGGTGGAAAGTAAAATAAAAACAGAATCACACCCAAGAAGAAAGCACTTTTGAAAGAAAAACAGGACAGGAATTGAGAAAAGGCAGGCAAGTTTCCACAATGCAGATGTAAGAGCATCTTCTGATATTAGAACTGAGGAGTGAGGGAGATCGTGAACACTCAGTTTGTATGCTGTGGTGAACACCGGGCAGAGAGCAGTGTAAAGCAAGTTGCCTTGTTGTTTTTTCTCTTTCACTGTATGTAGCTATGTGGATCTTTTCTTCTCTTCTTTTCAAAGATGAAGAAAGACAAACAACATTCCCATCCAGGAAAGTTCAAAGTCTATCCAGGGAAGACCTCCTTGATGGCAGCTAAGCCTGGGTTCCAGCTCTCCCCTGGGACAGAATGGCCAGCTGTGAGACGCAGCTGATTGCTGAGAAATAGCCAAGAGCAGCTTGAGCAAGCATTTCCACACATGGGTAGCAAAATGTCCTTTGATTGTCCCAGTCCTATGTCTTGAAGTGCCACATCCTCTGTAGATGAGAAGCACAAAGAGCATAGGACAGAAGAATGCTCACCCTGTAGGATAAAAATAGGAAAGAAATTAACTTTTCATTCACAGAGACATTTTTCCATGTTCCAGAAATTGTACACAGTTACTACCATTGGAGTTTGGTGTCAGATACACTCAGAAAACAGCTTAGGCTTTGCAATGTGAAAACCATGTTACTTTGAGCAAGTTAACGAAGCATCAAGAGATTAACTTTTCTTCAGGAGAGCAATGCCTTATTAAATGAAATAAAATTATGTATGTGAAACACTTAGCATACCGCCTTCCAAAGAGAAGTTGGTAAAAAGTAAAAGACTAAATGTGCTTGCAAAATAGAAACAAGTGTTTTTCACTTTTAAACATATGCAAGTTTAAAATAGTGTTATGAAAATAAGGAAAATAATAGACTTTAAATTTTGCATCCACTCTTTATTACATTTGAGTGTGCTAACTTATAGTCTAAAAAAAAGTTCTGCAAAGTAAACACAGTTATCCTCACTGAATGAAAATAGTCAATAACTTTTGTAACTTAATCAAATTTCATTCATCTAGCCATTTTTATAATCCTTTTTGCACCATATAATTTTCTAGTTGGTCAGGATTTAAAAGTCAATAACTAAGGCAGAGCAAATGTGATGACCACAAGTCTCTTAATATGGGCCACATTTATTCCAAAGCCTCCTTTCCTTTTATATGATACTTTCTAATTTGAAACAGCTAAATTGAATGCACTTTTCCCTCATGGTAAGTAACAAAGAGAATTCTAACAAGGTAGCCACAGTTTAATCAGCATAATATATCTAAACCAGAAATTGAGCAGGTTTAGTATATAAATCTCAGAGGAAAGTTAATGAAACCAGAATGTTGATATTGTTACACATACATTCAGCCATAATTGGCCAGAAGCAAATGTTGGCTTTATATAAGCAATCAAGCTAAAATAATTGTATTGCTTTAATGTTAGTAAAGATTCAAGTTAAAGGTTAATGGAACAGCTCATGCATTCAACAAACATTTATTTAACACCTCCTAAGTGCCAAAGTAGAATTCCTAAATTAGGAATTACAGAGGTAAGAATCAGCAAGACTAATGTGTAGACTCTTTTGTGGATATAAGTAACAATAGGTTCTGTGATGTGGTCAACACATCATGTGGGGACAGACAAAATCACAATGCAATCTATCTCCAGGAACTGGAAATGTGAAAATGTTTCTGAAGAAAGATGGGAGTCCTAAAGGTAGAAAGCTGCAGTAGTTAGTTGCACATGTTACACTGATTATACTTTGGACTCCCTAGATGTTTATTCAATGTTGGGTCTGGATGGTTCCATACATGTACTTTTGGATTACATGAATTTAAATTTGACTTGAATTTGTAGACAAGGTAAAGCAAATTGACTTCACCAATGTGATCTCACACAACTAATAAAATAAAATGGTAGCATAAGGAAGTATACAATCTGCCCATTTTCCTGCTGGGATATTAGTTTCCTACTGGCTTTTTTTTTTAACTGGAGTTGAACTCAACCTCACACTTGTTAATACACTGTGCTGCCTAGCTACAGTTCCGGCCCTCCCACTGACTATTGACCTGAACTTGGACTGGATGTTGTGCCAGAGTCTGTTCTACTTGCGACCTGCAAATTTGAACTGAAAATGCACCATCAGCTTCTTGGTTTTCCAGCTTTCCTGCTGTGGATCTTGGTATTTGCCAGTCTTCATAATAACATAAACCAAAACTTTGTAATACATTTGCTTCTGTACACATGTATATGTATCCCATTGGTCTTGTTTCTCTGGAGGGCTCTAACAAAAATGGAGACATTTCAAGTCAGAAAATGGTAGGACAAAAATCTCTGAAGTAATTCTATTAGTAACCTATTCCAGATACTAGAAAATGTTCAGTGGAGCTATTGCAGATAATGCTGAAATAAAAAGAGAACAGGCAACTGGAACATTTAATGAAGATAATTATAACTCCTGGCTCTTGGTTTAGTTTCTATACACCTATAGCAGTACTGCAGATGAGGTAAAAGAGAAATCTAGTTCTTCCAATTCTGGAGGCCATACAAGGTGAAAGGGCCACATCCAGTTAGGGCCTTCTCAATGCTTCATAATATGACCAAAGACACATATAATCATGAAAGCATCATGATATAATTAAGTCTTTGTCTACATTTGCACCTATGCAAGAATCAGGTGAGCCAAATAAGGTGAGCCAAATACCCCATGGTATCTGGGTATTGCAGTTGGATATTAAATGTCCACAAAAGATCAACATATTAAAGGCACCAGCAGATGATGCTATGGTGAGATTGTGGAAAATTTAGGAGATGTGACTTACTAAAAGAAAATTAGGTCTCTGGGGTATTCTAAAGGGGACATTTGCATTTGGACTCTGGCCTCTCTCTCTCTCTGTCTGTCTGTCTGTCTCTCTCTCTCTCTCTCTCTCTCTCTCTCTCTCTCTCTCTCTCTGTGTGTGTGTGTCTCTCTCTCTGTCTCTTTCTCTCTCTCTGTCTCTGTCTCTGTCTCTCTCTCTGTCTCTGTCTCTTTCTCTCTCTGTCTCTCTGTCTCTCTCCGTCTCTGTCCCCCTCCACCTTGCTTCCATACTCTCATGAGAAAAATAGCTTTGCTCTGCTCCTCTCTGCTTCCAAACTCTCATGAGGAAGCCAGCTTTCTTTCCACCACACTCTCCCTGCAATGGTGCCCTGTCTTGCTACAGGACAAGAAACACTAGAACCAACTTACCATGGAATGCAACTGTGATCTTAAAAAAGCCTTTTCATATTTAACAATTTATCTCAAGCATTTTTTCACAACAGTGGAAATCTAGCTAACACACTGCCTTAGTTATGATGATAACTAAGATCTGAGGGCAGCAAGCAGGAGGTGGAATAAAGAGGTAGAATTCAGAAGACACAGTGACTGACCGGGTTGGGGTGAGCTGCTTATGAAGAAAGAGGGATTTGGAGGATTCCTGGTAAGAAAACATGCAAGTGTATGAGTGGCAGTGTTCTTCTGCACTAAAATTTAGACAGAGGAAAAATAAAGTCCATCTCTTTATAACTGTAGTTTAAATGTCTATAACAATGAACATTCAAGATAATGTTGATGTGAAATTCAGGGGAAAGACTCGGTTCGACTGTGGAGAAATCATTAGAAGATTGCAATTGTCTTCCTCTGAGAAAAGAGATACCCACAAGGAAGACACACTGACTGCCCTCCTACAGAATACACTGAGTGCTAACCACGTGTGGAGGAGTCAGTGATTCACCTCATACACCTACTTTCTATTATTAAGATATTTCTGAGAAGGAGGAGATTTTGTGGTAAATTGGAATCAAATGCTAGAAATTCCCTTGTAACAATAACTCATATAGAAAACAGTAGTAGGGAAAGAAACAGCCCCCACAGTCATAAAAGGATAGAAGTAAATATTATAACTAATACTAGTCACAGCAGATATTTGAAAGTATTGATATCAAATAAGATCTATTTTCAGAGTATCAACTTGTTAAGTTCAGATACAAAATGAAAGTCAAATGACCGTGGCTTGTCTATTTTCTTCAAATCCGTTTCCATGTAAGTAAATAGATGAATCTTGAGGCCATAATAGTCAGTGAAGTAAGTCAGATATCCAACCTTAAATGTCGCATGCATTATCTCATATAAGAAACTCACACAGCAAAATACAAGATAGATAAATAGGCAGAAGAGAGATCTTTCACAAATGGATGAGGGAATAAGAGGTAGAAGGATGAGGATGGAAAAAAATTGAAGAAAAAAATGATATAGGTGCTTTTTGAAATGAGAAGGGGACCCAAAAATGGAAGGAGCAGA